AAAAGCAAGATTGAAGCAGTTTGCGCCGGAATCGTCTCTTGTGCTGATATTCTTGCCCTTGCTGCTCGCGACGCAGTTGTTCTGGTAATTATATTAGAGCTTCATAGTATATTAAAATAAAAATTTAAATTAATATTTTTAAATATTAAAATTAAATATTATTTTTTTAATAATTATTTTTTTTTATTTTTTAAAAAAATTATAATATTATATACATCAATTTATTTAATGATTTAAAATATGCCACATTATTAATTTTAAATTTTTCACCCACCAAACCACTAGAGAAATAAAGGCTTCCACTTATTTAATTTGAATAATTGGTAGAGATGGATAACAAAGCTTCCACTTGTTAAATTGGAATGGTTGGTAGACATAGATAACAAGGCTTCCAGCTAAGTTGTCTGCAACTTTTTTAATTTTGCCCCAATACCAAGTTTATGTGGAAAATTCCATTTAAAAAAAATAAAAAAGTACTAAAAATATTTTTTTAAAATATTTTTAAAAAGAGAGAGTATATGTAGGAACCCAAGATAATTTTTACGGGGTAAAAGCATAACTAATTATATATTAAATTTGTACTTAGATATTATAATCTTATGATTATAAATTAATCCTAAGCTACACCCATAATCTTAAAATTAAGGTTTAAATCCTTCTCTCAAAATTGTAATTTGTTTAAAAATATATATATGTTAAATTTATCTCCCCATATGGTTAGGACTAACTGGACCTTAGAGTTGGAAAGGTAGATGGCCAATTAGGCAATAATTATCGACATACAGCTACCAGTCTCCAATCATTGCTTGGGAGGAGGAGCATATCACAATCCGCTGTCTAAATCCAAACCCCTAATGGTCCAACGAAAATGTTTTGGTATTTACCAAAAAAACTATATATATATATATATTTGGTTGGCGTAAAAATATAATTTTATAATTATAATATATCATGTGATTAATTATATTTATTTGAAAAATTATAAATAATATTATATTTATTTACTTATTTAATACTTTTTCAATTATAATCTTTTGTCTCATATTCTTTTCTCCTAAATTAAGGTGGTAAGTTTCTTTGTTCAAAATTTTTTAATAAAGTTTCTCTCTTTCTTTTTAATTTATTCACCCATAATTTACCTTCTTAATTTGTTTTCGTTGATTTTGCTTTGATATGTCTCCATCTTTTCCATCCTTTTATGTTGATCATTTCTTTCGCTTTCTATAAATTTTTTTTTTTTAAAAAAAAAAAAAAAGGAAGAAGGAGAAGAAAACCCTTGAGCAAGATTTTTATCAAAGCCTCACATTCCCATGATGATGACTTGTTTGAATGTAGAGTGGGCGCTTGCTTGTGTGAGGGGTTGAGGCCGATGATTTTCATCATATGCTTATATACCGCGCATGATCAAGAAGGAAGTAATTGCGATGAAGGTTTAAGAATGAGAATAGAAACCACACAAAGAAGCAGAAGAGTTTTAAAGTTCTTTATTGAGGGTTAAAATATGCATTTAACTTTTTATTTTATTAAATTTGAAAATGTTGACTCTTTACTTTATATTATGAAATTTTAATTGGTGAACTTAAAATTTTGGAATTTTTACCCCTCTAAACTAATAGAATTCATTAACTTTTTATTAAAGTAAGAATAAAATGTTTATAAGATTAATTCTCAGAAATTAAAAATGTAATAACTTAATTTCAAAAGTTTAAAAAATTAAAAATTAAAAATTAAATATTTTTAAAATTAAAACCCTAAACTCTAAAATACCTTTTTTAATTGGAATAATTGCTAATAATTAATTGACATGTTACTTA